CACACACACACACACACACACACACACACACACACGTGCACTCCATTGCCACATCCCTTTCTCCTACTCTGACCTTTCAGTGTCCCTCTTTCTTATAAGGACACTTGTGATTATCTTGGACCCTCATGGATAACCCAGGGTAATCTCCTCATTTTAAGATCCTTAATCACCTGCAAAGTCCCTTTTGCCATGTAAGGTAACGTATTACAGGTTCTAGTGATTAGGGCATAGACATCTTTGGGAGGGCCATTCTCCAACCTAGTACATTGATCCTTTTACTGACAGCGAGAAATGACATGTAACATGTAGATGGAGAGCTTACCTGTGGCCGATTAAAATTACTATGTAGGGCAGTTTAAACGTGAATGAATATAAAAAAATGCTTTAAACTTATAATAGCACTTCTGTGTTTTTAAAATATTTAGAAATATTTTGCTACCTTTCAATAACAATTGTAGGAAGTATGTAGAGCAGGTTGTGTTAGCTCCACATTTGTAATGTGGAGAGACCCAGAGAAGTAAATTGCATTAACTCGCATAGGTTACTGAATACCTGGTTATCTAAACCTAATCAGCTGGATTTCTACTGTTTGTGTGTTGAAGCATTCCTAAGAGATCTCTCAGAATTATATTGAAATAAGCACCTCACACCAGGATTTTTCACATTAGCTATCCTAATATTATACTTAAGACTTATTACACTTAAGACTCCACTTATTTAAATTGGAAACATCACCTTAAAAGAAAATCTCCATTTCCATTTTTGTTTCTTTAGTCTCTAGTACCAGAAGTAGAGTGTGTGTGTGTGTGTGTGTGTGTGTATGTGTGTGTGTGTGTGTGTGTGTGTGTGTGTGTGTGTGTGTAGCTGCTAAAAATTAAAAATAGAACAGTGAAGCATAAATTTGCTTCGTGGGTGAGCCAGATGACCTTTAAAGCAATTTGCACCCTTGAGATCCCAGTTTTCTGATTTTGTTAGCCTTCTCTGTGTGATATATTAAGGAAAATCATCATGTAACTACATTTTATGATAGTCAATTATTTTATAAACATTTACAATTTATAATACCCTGATTACAATTCCTAAAATGACTTTACTTAATATTCTTCCATGTTTCATGTTCTTAGTTTGTGCCAAAAGGCCGAGAGATTAACATATGGGTGGGCAATATCTTGAAGATTCTCCACAGAGTAATTAAAATAAAGGAAAATGCAATTTTCTGTCATGTGTATCTGTATGTGAAGTCATCTAGTGATCATATATGTATTATATGTTATCGTACTTATTTTTATTGAAGGATACAGTATGAAAATTGTATATAGAAAGTCTTTAAGGGGGAAAGTTACTTGATTTTATAAAAATTCCATGTAAGTATTGTTTAGTCAATTCTGACAGAAAAGAAAAAAATTACAAAGAACATAACTCAAACAAGCTTGAAAGGTCAGGTTTCCTTTGGGATTGGTCATATTTCAAAGGCTTTTGTGTAAGGTAACAACAGCAGGCATATTTATTTGCACTTAAAAAAATATGTATATTAGAAAATTTGAGAAGAGAAGGAATGTTTTAAAATGGCTTTAGGGCAGTATAATCTCTAATGTTCTCAATCCTTAAAGCTATTTTGTTCTACTCTTATTTACACAACCTCTCTACCACAAAAAAAAGAGAAACACCTGTTAGGATAAGTGTGCTGTTGATCAGAGTCGCTTATTTATAGCACCACACCTTTGTTTTGTGAATTTAAAGATATTTTAGATCCAG